CCATTATGATTCGTTTCATAAAATAAATGACTATTTTAACTTACCACCATAACCTAAATTTTGATTACGATTAAAAATTGTCTTGTTACAGCCTGATATTATTTAAACTTGCAAGTCAATTTTTTTTTTATTTGCAATGATAAACTACACTTGTCAGGTTGAATATAGTCACAGATTGAATCGAGCTTTTTCAAGAACTTGGGGTAACAGACAATGTAATTGAAGGTTTAAATGTTATGATCTGATATCATCCCATTAGCTAAATAAGATTCACTAGGTATTGAGAAGGTTGGAAAATTTAAGAATGGACAAACTATCGTACAATAATTTGTTGCGATTGGTAATTCCATTTATTATATCCTCAAACAAAAATATCTGCATGAGAAAGGCAATTTAACCCCATGAAAGACTTTCTAGTCAGCGACTAGAAGTTAAAAGGACATGGAGTACACAACAATAATATCATAGCAATCCTTAGCTGGAATAGTTCCTGATTCCTGTTAACACTAATACCGAAACCCCGGTCTGACAGGCCCACGGGAATTTTCAAAAACGCATGTTGGCAACACTGTTTACTTGGGATATTCCATTCCCCCCTTTTCCTCCCCTACCTATTGATATAGTGATTGTTCATTTTGAATGGTTAGAACCTTGACAGGTTGTCTGTTCATAACATGTGTGTCTCAGAAGCCCAGCGTTAGTGTATTTTAAAGCAGGGTCTCATAGTCCCAGGGTTTCGGTTTGTGTGTTTCTACGCGGGTTCCATTATTTTTAAAATGGGGTCTCACAAACCAGGGGTTTCGGTATTAGTCTTAAGCTATCTACAAGTTGCTAAAAAGGATTATGAAGGTAATTCAAACTGTTAGCACTAATTGATTATGATAGTTATAGATACATACATTACGTATATTATTAAAATTGACATGTAACAATTAATTCTCTACACAATATTATTACCCTACAGTAACTTTAAATCAGAATTCCACTGAGAAAGGTTGGTGTTGTGTGACCTGAGGATTGAGATTCTACTAGTACTTAGACAAACAATAATGTAGAGCGTATTGTTCCAGGAATAGTTTTCTGCTTCACCTCTTTATTTCTGAGAAACTAATGTCAGTGACCCTTGCAAGCCTTTGTCAGACTCCATTTCCGCCTCGAAAAGTACATATCTTTATTGTCTGAGGATTGTATTTTCTTACTGACCAAACCAACTCCTTCATTTTTCTTCTTGATGAAACTTCCTCTTATTTAGGTAAACTCTGTGCTTATGGTCTGTTCAGAGATGAGGTAGGTCTACTGTATGAGCTAGACAATCGATGGGATGGAGCTGAAGCAGGAGTAAGGGAGGCAGAAGCAATTACAACATCAACTTCTTTCTTTCATCAAAATATTGTCCAAAAATGATGTTCCTTAGGCTGAAACAGAGCAAAAAATCCTATTTTAGTTTATATTTTGTAAATTGTTGCCCATATCGATTTCATCATAATTCCATAATATTGAATTGAGGTCCTATGTGGTTTGTTCTCATTAAATCCTCCCTTTTTAATCCCACAGATGGCATTTTCCTCAGCAGAGTAAACACAACCAAACCAAAGTAGCTGCTACAACTCGCCAACTCGGATTATATTTTGCTGGCGAGTAGTAGCTGCGACTAAGTTGCGGCGAGTTAGTCACCAAATGCGAACGAGCCTTTATAGCTGTAAAGAGTGTTTTAGCCACAAAATGTCATTTTGGAAATAACTGTTGTTCAATCCAATGTTGTAATCTACTCTTAGCAAATTCAGTTTTAAACATCGTACAACTAAATCTACAATTCTACTGGACCAATTTTATTATTTAATGGGTCGTTGGAAAGTTTAATTCATGTAGTTTCGCAAATATTCATGAAAGTTTCATTTCAATAACTATTTGCAGTAAAAAATAAAAATACAAGAATACATTAAAAAAGTCTTCTTCAGAGTTCCTATTTCTAGGCAAGTTTACGCTGCATTTTTTGAGCATTTTCAAGAAATACACTTAAATAATTTGTATGAAATTGTATTTTCTTTCAGAATATCACCTTCCACTTTGGTCGATTTCCTCACAATTTGAAATTTATTTGCAAAAAAGCTATAAGCAACCTCCAAATTTATTGTGGTGAGAAAATACCGCTACAGACGTCTAAATCCTCCATTTTTAATCCCACTGATGACATTTTCCTCAGCACAGTAAACACAACAAAACTGAAGTAGCCGCTACAATTCGCCATGTGTGAACTCAAGAGTATATTTTGCTGGCGAGTAGTAGTTGCGACTAAAGTAGCAGCAAGTTAGTCGCCAAGTGTAAATGAGCCTACTTGTTGCCAAGCACGAGTTTGTAGAGTCGCTGAAAATACTTTCATTTTGTCATCAATATTTTGTATTTTCCAAACAACTATTAATTTAAAAATGGAAAATATTGATACAGTACAGTTGTTTTAGCTTGTTGTGCCTTCAAAATTATTTTCACAGATCTTCTGCGCAAAGTTCTGGATTATAAAAATATTGAAGAATGTTCTATTGAATTAGGCACTTAGATGTAACCCCAGCGAGCACATAGAGGTAAAACTAATAAGATCAAAATTCACAAATTTTCAACCAAATTTGATCAAAATCAGATCATTTTTGCTCGAGTTATCACACTAACAGACATATAGGCCTGTATATAGTGCTCGATTTGGTGGAGCGGAGTTCCGGTACCTCTCTTTTGGTAAGATAAAAATATTGGCATAAATACATATATATAAATTAATCTAAACGGAGGGTGTTTTTTTGCCTCTGAGCACCTCAAAATGAAAAAGTAAATCAGTCCCGGGTCTAGGTCTTACTATAAGACCTACAGTAAAAGCTTATCCCCTATATGTGAAATTTGCTAAAAAGACCATGCTGCAGTGTGGGCAACGCAACACTACGTCACAGTGGTGGATAGTTGTACCTTTGACTATTATTAATAAAACTAGACAATCCATCACCTCACCATGTTATATTTGTAGCGAGATTTTTATCAAAATCGTCTTAGTTGATGTGAGCCACCGACAGATAGCGCTGGCTGAATTACAGGATCTAAATTACTAAGCTCTGCCGAAAACACACACTTTTTTATGAAGTTAAACTTGGAAGGCAGCATGGCCTGTTTTTCTAGTGAATACTTGCCTAGTGCAAAGAGAAAAGGTCAAAGGTCTTAACTAGAATTAAGATTAAACGAACAGGCCTAATTTTCACCTATAACACCCCTAACAAACTATTTCCACATTACCCCATTCTTGCTATCTTCTGTGCCAATATACATCATGGTATTTAGTATTTACACTTCCTCTAGGAAGTGTTCTTCTTGATCAGTCAAAACATCAAACAAATCAAAATACCACAAGGTGAAAGTAGTTTTGTAAACATTGTTACTTGAGAGCACATTGACATTTTCACTTTAAACAGTTGTTTCCTCTAAACAGCCCTCAAAGAGTTAATTTGTTTATCGGTATCTTTTTTTTGGTACCTCATCAATTTCTTTGTACACCACCCCAATAACTTGCCCTCGACCTAGAGTGGAACTAGAGGTTGTCAAATTATCCAGAACATTGAAATTATTTGTGGGTTTTAATTAATACAAATAAATAAATAATTAATTAATTAATTAGATTAATTTTACATATAATTTTTTTATACAGTGTGATTGAAAAGTCCCTAAACGGTACAATATATTTTTTGCCATTATAGATCAATTAATGAGACTTGGCATATCAATTACAACTACAACCGTAAATTTTTCTCTTTTCAACTATTATCACTTTTTATCCCTTAAGGCAGCCCACGAAGAGTCAGACAAAATTCTTAAATAGCAGCATAGTTAGAGTTTGGTATAAAATTAAAGGTCTTCACATCGCTGCAAACTCTAACACAAACAGACAACCGAGTCAAAAATGACAGCTGTTCAAAGATTCATTGTATTTGCAATGCTGTTATGCACTACCTCCTCAGGGGCTCCTGCTGGAATTCTGAAGAATATCCTAAACTTAAGCATAGGTCCATATTGCTCATCAAAGTAAAGGCAAAGGTCTTTATTAGCGTACAATGCAATGAAGCAAATTTTAGCTAAAAAAAAACTAATGAGTAAAAAATGGCAGCCGATCAACGATTCAAAAAGGCAAATTAAAGAAATATTTAAATAGCTGCCATTTTTTACTCCGTTGCCCATTTGAGTCCAGGTTTGCGGCAATGTCTTCTACTAAGACCTTCAATTTGATACAAACATGACCTAAGCTGCTATTTAAGAATTTTGTCTCCTCATGGGCTAGTCCTTAAGGCCTAGTCCCTTAAGGGATAAAAAAGTATTGATAGCTTAAAAGAGTACATATTTATGACTATTATACAGTGGCAAGGCCTGGATTTTACTTTGAGGGGGGACATCTGGGGGGCCAAATCTCATTTCTTTATCTATTAATAATGGTATACATGAGTATTTTTACATTATTGAGTAAACACTAAACAGTCATCAAAAAAATATTGAATATTCAACAATCAAAGCAATGCTTAATGTTTTGACAAAATTGCTTTTTTTGCTTTCGCCGTGTCAGCGATTGACTGTCGAGAGTAGTGAGGTTTTACTGTATTCGTTTATATTAACTTGTCATAATCAAGACTTTTTATTGCAGTCACTGTATTCTTTGGATTTTACCTGCCACAAACACAGAAAACTTTTCACTTTTGAGAGAAATTTGATCAAAAATCCTTCATCTGAACAGCTGCTACACACACTGATGCTGCATGATATCAGTACTCTGGGCAATTATAAGGTTTTGAGCAAAGTATCTTTAAATTGAAGATGGTAATCAATAGCGATTTTGGATACTGCAAGTAAGCTTTTATTTTTATCATCCAATACGTTACAAAGCACACTAATGAAAATTTGCTTAGTCTGCAGGTTTTCCCCGGGGGTATTTAAAACTACATAAATATAGACGGGAATAAACAATAAACGACATTACACTGATTTTAGAATAATTTATTTAACAGTTAATTTTGATAAGTTCATAGCAGTAGAATGTATCTTTCTTTACAGTAACTTTGATTTAGGGTAACTTACATTAAGGTAACTAGTGATGCTAAAAAATAATAATAAGAAAAATACTTTAAATATCACGTGTACGTGTACACATGAATGAAATGAACACAAAGAAACAATAACCGTACAGGACATGGCACGGAACCAGGAGTGAGAAAGGATACCGATCAGACGGAGGTATGTAAACCGATACATTATTAACTAGTTAATTTACAATTTGTTTGTAACGGTGCGACTATGCGGGACTAGTATACACAAGATTCTATACAAATAATTAAAATATACATTAAAAACATATATATATATTTATACCGGTTCGATTGAAAATATTCAAGAGAAACAATAGTTTAATCTATCTTACAATGCAAACTCTCGATCTCTCTCTTACCAAAGAATTACATTTAAATTCGGATACTTTCATCATTGTGACAAGAGACATGACTCTTCCCTGCTTTAAAGTAAAAACCACTTTACGATTTAAACACGAGGGAGGCGAGATACTTATTTTTAAATCTACAGATGTTGGAAAAGGTTCATTTTTTGTACTCTCTGTTAGTAGACATGTTTTTAAAAATAAATTAACATAATTAAAAAAAACACATGCTTTCTCTATGACAATGATAAATGTATCAGTTTTTCTTAGAACAAACAAACCCATACAATATTTTGAAATTAGGTATAAAATACATTTCTCTTCACTAAGTAAGCTTGTGCATTTGTGACAATTATGGTGATAATGCGCAGCTTTCGATCCACAGATGGCAGCCGAGACAAGCGTATTTCTGCGATACAGAAAAAAATAACAAAAACAATACTGTTGCAACAAATTAAAACTATGTAAAAATATTCTGGGGTAAAATGTGACTACGGCAATTGCAACGGTCTCAAGTATAGATGGTACATCTCAAATACTGCTATAGTACGCCACCACCTACAGGTGTCTATATACTGCACTTCGATGGCACATGAACACACCAAGCTTCAGCGGCCTGCGGTTTATCAGTGTAACTCATTACGCAGTTTACGATTCACATTTGTGCATATTTGTGATGTCTCATTATGTCAGTGAAATGTTTTCTTAACGTTACCGTTGTACGAAAACATTAAAATGTCGGGACATAATGTTCAAATAAAACTTTCTATCTTGATAACAATGACCAGTAAAATTTAGGCATAAAAACAATTCTAAAACGCATTAGCCATCTTACGTTATATTATCTGCACTTTAGTGCTGAATGACTAGAATTTCTATCTTTTAAAACATTTCACAAACATAACTTAATGAAAATGAAACAATAATAAGATAACAATATAACAAAATCAACAAAGTATAAATAGTTATGAGTTATTTTGGTAAATTCATCGTCGGTTAAATATAGACAGCCTAAAACACAAACTACTGGTTGTATGGGCAATTCCACTACATCCCTTTGTAAATTGACCACTAAAATATTACGGATGTTAATAGTATTAAGAATTAACCAAACGGCAAATCAAAAAAGAGGTTTCGGTCAGAAAGCTCATAATTGAAGTAAAATTGAATAAGGAAAACCCTAAGTAGAATAAAAATTGTAGAGCTGGCCTCAATAAATATTCAAGAATTTGTAATAAACTTGGTAATGAAAATGAAATTGCTCACACACCCCTAATATAAATACTAGTTATATTTAAAATTCAATAAAATTAATTATGTTAATAATTTATAGCTCTGTAAATATAAAAATAAATACTTTTATAAAATTTAATAAAATAGCTCTATAGTTTCATCGAGTTCATTAAAACGTTAAAAAGAAAAGTACAATAAAATAAAATGTCACATAAATTAACTTTAAATTTGCGCTTTACTATCATTTTTGTGTCTAAAAACACAGTTTTTTCTCAATCTTGTATCTAAGAAGCAACCACTAAGTATTAAAAAATAAGGTTAAACAAACGGTAATATAAAATTTACACTACAAACATACGAGAGAGGTCAGGGATTTGTACAAAACTGTAGATACAGATGAAAATGAATCGTGTGGAAATGTATCTCTAAAGTAAGAATCATTTTCTAATAGCTATACATTTTTTACAAAACTCATTAAAATAACATTCGAAAAACAGCCTTATAATCATGTTTTACGTTCAAGGTACATTACTTAAATTCTCACAAACATTTTAATGAATTGTGCTTTTTTTAAATGCTATAGATTTACAGTAATTCACCATTACTTGTAGCACTTACAGATATCTAACCACTCATGAAGCATTAACTAAAAATCGTTTTTACATTTGGGAGTGCACTCTATGACACGATGTAACAAACGTCGATTTTTACTCATGACATTCCCTAACCGTCACGAAATAATTGTAAACCGTCTACAAGTCATTCGTTAAAAAAGAGATTTGCTGTAATTAAACACCATAAAGTAATGTCTAAATTGCACTACAGTGGCCTGTTACTACGGTAAAACCTCCACCTCAGTATTGAATAACTCGACATCCGACGACGTAATAAATAATGATAAAACAGTGTCCGACCGGTCTACAGCGAATCACACTTAATACTGATAGGACTACTAAATAACATCAACGTAAGACATCGTGACGAATATATGTCCAAAGTATATGTCATGTAATGGGACGTGTTTGAGAAAGTCATCGACCAAATTAAGCGATATAAAAACACACAAACCTCGCTGGATATAGAAATCAGATCCCATTATATTGTACACGACGTTTACAAAATGATTTTCTATATTTAAACAATTTGTACAGAGTCGCAAAGTGTCAGGGCTCGACAGGACTTCTCAGGGACAAGAGCCGTCAAAAGTACTTCCTACAGTAGTGCAATTCACACAGAATCCGAGCGAAAAGAAAAATGACGCTTAAATCAGGCTAAACCGATACAAGAACTAAAGGAGTCCTCGTAACTGAAGGCAGGAGGGGGAAGGATGATCACAAGAGCTCGTACTGGCGAAGGTGCATGCGTTGTATTATGTCTCGACAGTCGTTGAACACGCGCCGGATGTTCTCAGTGTCCACGGCGCAGGTGAAGTGAGGATAGCAGTAGTGCTTGCCGTCCCCACTGGCCGTGCTTATACGCTGCAACACAATAATACAGAGTCAACAAGTAACAAGAGAAGAGCAGAGGTTGCCCTGGAAATGGTACACACCTCCGTAAGGTTGACAGGTGTTCATTCTTTAATTGGCAACTATAATAAAAATGATCCCAATAATTATGCTGTGAATTAAGTGTTTACAGTACTAGCACAGATGAGAGTACAACACCTTTTCAAGCAAGTTGTATACAATATTTTCACCACACCAATAGCAACAAATATACAGGATAACTTTAACACAATCACAACAGAATTTACAACTTTTTAGAAATGGTAATGTTTGTAAACCTTTCCAATTCAAACATTTATTGTGGAATTGCAAAGAGCTTGTCCAAACCTGCCTACTATAAATACCATGTAGCTTCGTTGAGAGTCTATTGATAAAACTCGCGCCTTTTTTAAAAAGTGCTCAACAAATTTACCTCGCCAACCTTGTCCCACCACAGACTTGCAGACTAGCATTCGCAAACCTAGGAATCCTCACAACAACTCTACATACTTGAAACCATAAAGTATGTAAATGAAATAAACCCACCAAGAAACCAAGACCTGCACCACTACAACACCCGTCATGGCTCCAAATTTGCCCAACCAGTTCACCGAACAACTCTGGGAGAAAAAACCTTCCTACACCGGCTGCAAACTGAGGAACCATCTTCCTGACTACCTGAGAGACCTGACTGGCAACAAGCTACACCAGGAGTTGAAGAAGTGGCTAATCGCAAGACCCTTCTACTCAATAAAGGAATTTTATGGAAATTAACACGTACAATTCCTATTGTATTGATACTATTGTAATTCTTAACGAATGAACAATAAAGAATATTGTATTGTTTTGTATTGTATTATTGAATTGTATATTCACTAGCTAGAGCTAGGCTAGGCAAATTCATTCATTGGCAGAACGCCAAATGCGCTCTTTGTGCGTACTTTCTCGGAAAGCAATTACATAAGGATAGTGATAACAAATTCCTGGCGGAGAATTAATAACACATTGGACATAGAAAAGATCGAAGGGGTAGAACATTTATGAATTGGTAGTGAATTAGTGGTGATGGTTATATATTCTTTTTTCAAGATTACTTAACATACTGCAAAGGAACAAATCAAGCAACAGGTAAACTAAAAGTTTATTTTTCAAATTGACAGTAATTCTGTACAGATACGTACCAGGAACTCGTCTCTGATGAAGTACTTGGCGCGTATGACTTGTGGGTCCTCGGAGGGGTCCGGAGCAGCATCGATGGGTGTCTGGTAGCGGGTGAACTCCTGGAAGTAGTCTTCCAACTTGGACTTGCCCGCTTTTATCTTCTCTGCCAACAGATCCTGCTTGTTGAGGAACAGGATGACTGATATGGTCCTTAGCCATCTGCGACACAAGTGTTGTATTAGTTATGGAATAATGAAATCCTATCGATAACATTTAACAGTGGAACTCTCATAACACAACTTTTACAAACACTTTTAAAATCCGCTTGACAACGTTGTGACCCGTGATGCCAAATTAACCAAAATGACTACTGTAGGTTCCTCTTATCCGGACTTCTCAGGACCGAGCCTATTTCGGATAACAGTTTTCTGATTAAACCGATGGTCCTGAATCGCTCTAAAACCAACCCAAATTTGGGAGAGCAATGTATTTAGACACATGATCACTGGACCCAAATCTTTCCCACAAGAAAAGTTCTTTGAGTATTGCCCACTTCCTGCCGATCCAGACCGTATAAAGGTGGCTGGGTAAGAGGGAGCTACTGTATTTTAATTAAAACAGCCCAAAAAAAAAAAAACTCTTTTTTCCTAAATTCGAATGCACCTCACAACCTCAATAACAATTCAAACTTGATAACATGATTTTTTTTATCAAACATTTCCCTCAAAATGTTTTAATGAATAGTGTTTTTAATTTCCCACATTTTAAATATCCACTATCCATGAAATAGATTTTGTTATAGCTTTAGAGGCGTGTAGGCTTATGTTGGTTTACCGTAACCATCAACTGTGAAATTTATGATGATTCCTTTATCAATGTAATTGTTTTAACAGTTATGTCAATTTCATATAGCCTTTCGACCCCATACGTCCACTTTTAACCTAAAAAATACAAAATAAATTGTTCCCTCCCCTACACTAGTGTATAGTGCAATCCCTATTAAATTCATTAAGCCGTCAACTTCCACCCAATCCTGTTACCGCATATTTAAGGTGGGCCCTCCCACTAAGGTTAAGTTACATTAGTAAGCTTAATACGGATTGCACACTTACGGAAACCAAAACCATCCATTGAGATCTTACGAGCAGCTATTCTAAGTGGAAATGGCGTTGGTAGCATTAGTAATAACAGCCACCACAGAAACATCGACCAGACGCAACAAATGTCACCAAAGTGAAAATAAAGAACAACACTACGCAGGTGAAAGTCAACCAATTAATTATTCATTGGTAAAGTTGCCCTATTGTAAGTGACTAGATACATCAAACCAAGTTGGAGAGTAAAAAAAAAAAACAAACCATTAGATGAGGATTAGCAAAATTTAGCGGCCTAGCAGATTTTAAATTACTCTTACTTTGAATATTGCCTGTGACATCTAAGCTGGCACTTTGTTGCAAGTAGCTATAGTTCAAAAACATTATGTACCGTCATGCGTATTGCATCAACTGTCCTCGCGACCCATATGAAGGCCCTCAAGTACATAATACAAGGGAGTCAACCCTGTGAGGCAGCAGAAATGTTTGCAGTCTGGTATTTTCCCTACCTCCGCCCTCCTTCCACCTACACTGCTCACGCTAGGCCAAGTGCCAGCTTAGATGTCACGAGCTGTAACTGTGCAAGAAAACATCTACTCCACACAGTATTTCACTGTTGTACCTGTTATTCCAGATGCTTCTGAACAGATCAAGCGACTCTCGGAGCCGGTTCTGGGTAGGATCCTCTCTCAACACCATGTTGTAGCTGCTGCAAGCCGTCACAAAGATGATGGCCGTCACGTCGTTGAAACACTGGATCCACTTGCGCCTCTCATCACGCTGACCACCCACATCAAACATGCTGCAAACAAACACCACGTTACAGTTGGGGAACCGCTTTCTTAGATGTAATAATGTTTAAAAGAAATTAAAGGAATTTGTTAAAAATATTTCACTGAATATCAGACAAAGTATAAGAGGTAATCAAAATTGTTATTTAAAAATTCAGAAGCTGTGATCACAGCAAAATCCTGAACATATCTCGTGGTCACGTAGACATCATCATCGTACTCCGCGGTCTTAGAAACATCATCATCAAACATGATCACGGCAACATTTTGAATATCTCCCACGGTCGTGTGGACATCATCGTCTCCTACAGTTTTGTAAAATCACCATCATCGTCTGCGATCAAGGCGGCAAAAGTATGATTTTTCAATCTTAAAATCATCACAGACCCGTGCTGTGATCGTGATAGTAAAAGCTTGGCTTGACTCAGCCAGTTGTCAATAAAATAACTCATACCTTTGACTACTAATACAACAACTTCTGTATCCAACAGTCAATGCTCATACTTAGATACAGATGCAAATTATCAGAATTTTTGATTGACCAAATATAGTACAATATCAATTGATTAGGTTAAATTGGAGATATATCATATATATTCTAATTAAACTTACTGGAAATTGACTTTCTCCACTTGAAACCTCGTTTCAAAAATTCCAGATGTGAGAACTCGACACCTGAGAATGTCCTGGAAAATATGATCTTTTTTATAACCTGTGCACTATAAGACATCCATAAGTTCTACAAATCAAAACCACATATAACCAGGGTAATATTGTTCCTGAAATAATTTAAGCAATATTATGGCAAAGTAACTTGTAAAGAAATCTGATACGGTAAAATAACAGAACTTTGAAAAATTCCAAAAATTGACAGCAATCAAAAAACACAATTTCTTTACCAAAAAGATGTACTCTCATTGTTTATGCTTTTGTAGGTCCTGTATTCTGTACATATAGAATACATTGTACTGAAAATCGCATTGTTATTCGTTAAATTTAATTTATCCGACTCTTTTGCTCATCCAGCAAATTTGATCCCACCGGTATTGATCAACTACCATCATTACGTAGCAAAGAAGCTTTATCACGGCGCCAGTAATGTTTACTCAATAATGTTGAACAAGTGTAGCTGCTGTTGCTGCACACTTAAATGTTGACTGCAGTAATTAATCTGTTACTATTCCAAAGACAAATTAATTTGCTGAGGGATTTTTCTTAGATAGAATCTTCCAAACAAGTTAAAATTTATCATCAAACAATTCAACCTAAATGTTCATTTAAATAATAACTAAATTGAGTGTATTGAGAAATTCAACAAAGTACAAAATACAAAATTGCGAAAAGTGTTTTGTTTGTAGTTGAAGTTTCTGGTTTGAGTTGAGTTTGTGTTGTTTCGAACAAACGGTTGGCGGGTTGGAACACGCCAGCAAGTTTACAGGCTAGTTTTTATCTACCACCCACATGTCTAGTCTATAGAAAGAGTAATTGCCTATTATACAACACAGTTTCTGGTAATGCCACTAACGTCATAGATAGTGATTGCTTTTTGCTCGTTTATATAACTTTGAATGACATTTAGGCCTGCAAAAAATGATTATTTTATTTATGTTAAAATTTAAGACGCTGAATCAAAGTTAGTAAAAACGATTACAAAAACTGCACAGTTGGAAGTAGGTATACAGGAGTATGGACCTAGAGTTGTTACTAAGTATAATCCTCATAAAATATAGGGTGTAACGAAACTTTACTTTACCATGTAAAACAATATGGAAGTGCTATAATGAAAATAACAAATTTGACATGATTAAATCTCATAACTATCATAAATAAAAAGCTGAAACTTTGCAAAGATGTTTTTGTACCTCAAATGCCTGCTGGGAAACTGTTTTTTTTTTGTTATATTGATGTAGGTGCGTACACAAACGTTTGTTTACAAAGTAATTAACTACTGATTATACAACAACTATGAGGACGGGAGGGTGTCGGTTTACTCCAAATACTATACTATAATTAATTAGTTGACGCCAATAGAATATAAGTCAAAAATTTAATTCTATGAGGCATCAGCCACATACTCATCCGTCACGTTGGACTATTTAGTGTGTTAGAACTATACAATCTGTTTATGTAAACATTTTGCCAGCAGAAGTTGTGTGCTTTCAGTTGTAATATATTTACAACTGAAAGTTAAATTATTTCAACGCTTACAGAGCCAATGATTTACCTGTTCAGTGGGAGTGTAGTCTGGTTGCTTGATATTGTGGACTTGATCCAGGAAGCTGAAAAAGAAATATCGGTTAGACAAGAATCACACAGGTGCACCTCTAACCTATAAATCTGAATATTGTGTTGAACCCCATATGCAGCAAACCTGCAAGCCAAGTATGCGTTGATAGAATTAATTCCTTGAATAAATGGAGTTGAGGTTGTGTCGGTTAGAGATACATTTTACAGACAAATTGTCTTGACTGCCAAAACCTTTAAACAGTTGAAACGCTTTTAAGGGCAAACAGTGTAAATTCCTCAAATATTTTAGACACGCCAGGAGTCGGACCTGTCTTTCTTGCAATGTAGTTTTTCGATGCTAACTACTAAATTAAAACTCAACAGATTCAAAGGACACAAGTTTTGGACTGGATGATACAGAATGAAATAAAGTAGAACCACAGCTGATACAGATGATACTTCTACTAGAGAACAGTACAGTAAAACTGTTCATATTCGGCCCACGTGGGACCAAGCCCCTGGCCTAAAAAACCAACATATTATTAAAATACCCCTGCCAAAGCAAACCTGCAGACTAAGCAAATTTCCATATGCCTGAATTGATATACAATTAAATCTATTTAAGTAAGACTAGGTTAAACAAGTACCTAGGTTTGCTGCTACAGGGAGGCTAATATAATGCATTTTTCAGATTTCCATGTAGAGAAATAGATTCCAGACATTTTGTATACATATCTTAAATTTTAGATGATAAATCATCGCAGAATCGTTTTACTTTCAAAATTCAAAAAAACAATTTTTTATATTTTTCTTACATACTTTTTACTATACTAAATATTTATTCCATTTCCAAATTCTTCATTTCATTACGAACAATTCAAGTCTACGGTTCAATAGGTTTGCTCTGTTGGTTTAGTTCATATGAATTTTTAGAAAATATGACTGCAAAATCGCCAAAACTGCCTTGCCACTACAGTACAAAGTTCACCCACTAAATGCTAGATAAACATTGAAAAAGTCGAAAAAGTATTTACAAATTACATTGTTCGTAAACCATAAGTATTACTGATAATCTCATGATAATCAGATCCAATGAAAATAAAGTAAAACTTAAGAACATAAATTAAAATTAACTAAACAAAATTAAAAAAAGAAAGTAAGTTAATTAATTATGAAAATAAATATAAGTTTCATTAAATCATTTATCCATATTGTATGATGTAATATTTGAATTTAATTGAAATACGCATTTGCAACAAAGGTAATTGTATCAATTCATAACTAAACAAACCACGAAATGTAAGGGTTAAACTTTTATTTGGATTTTTTATTGAACAATCTTACAGTTATAGAATGGTTGGTTAGCAAAAATCATCCAATTTTTGTTTAAATTTCATTAACAACGCAGTCCTAAACATCAAGGCCACCTCAACGCGAACTTACGGGGATATTCAATAAAATAAAGACTATTGCTAAATGAATAATGAAATAAATTGACAGCGGGGGGAGGGGACGAGAGGATGCTACACTGGGTGGGGTGGGGGGAGGGAGGGGGCGACCTTGGTGTGGGCAGCCACTGCGTCGCTGCCAATCTCGCAAAACAAAATACTCAACTCTCGCTTTCACAACGGTAAACAATCACTGTGTTGGGAGAAATGCTAAAGATCCGCGCAACAGGTCTGGCAATAGTTAACATCAGAACATAAGTGTTTCCTAAATTTTAAGAACACACACACGAAGGTGGTGTTGAAAAAACAAATAATCTCGTAATGTATGCTAAGTAATTTAGAGGGTAAGAGAAAAACAATATTCTAAATTACAACACGTAAAAGAGAAGTGGATACGATTTTTAACTGATATTCAAATACTGTAAGCCTACTATTTGATTTGTTATCAATGCAAACAATACAAATTGTGTAAATGATCGTTTTCGGATTAATATCAGTTGCCAACATATTATTACTGTACTTTATTAATCTGGATTGAACGAAGTACTTAAAACAAACAGGCGAACAAAATGTTGTAACATAGTGCATAAATCATAAACAAAAACGTGTTGTGTTCTTTATTTTAAGTACACCGATTATCGTTCGATACGTATGGATTTATAATCATTTGGTGTGCAGTGCAGTATCCATTCAGTGAGTAGTATTAGTATCCTACTGTTCAGTACAAGTCACTACTGTATTTTGTCATGTCGGATAAAATAACTAAGCTTAAATTAACAATCACACACTCCAAGACGTTTTCGAACAAAATTATCGCATAAAAAACTTAACCTAAAACAATTGTTTCCAACTTGAATAAATCTACTATTTGTAATAAACTTGAAACAAACATTCAAAATCCGAAAACAAGAAAAAAGTTAACAAAATACTACATTACTGTACTGTGTTAATGTTGGAAATAAAGACAAACCCGGTATTAAGTTAAAAGTTACATGCTAAACGTAATCATAAAATTTTTCAAGTAATTTGACAGATAATAAACGACGGCGGAGGGCGGCTGACAAATGGTGGTGGATAGAATACCATTAACCATGCATGGACGAGCGAGCACGGTAGCATGATAAGGGTGTCTGTCTACCTGAACACCCAAATAATACTACAACCACCTCCCACTATGGCACCAGCGAGTTTGAAGTGACCTACTGCTGATGCCTACCAGCCCCGCCCACCCTACACAGCATCAACAGCAAGGTGGGAGTGACCTACTGCTGATGCCTACCAGCCCCGCCCACCCTACACAGCATCAACAACAAGGTGGGAGTGACCTACTGCTGATGACTACCAGCCCCACCCTCCCTACACAGCATCAACAGCAAGGTGGGAGTGACATACTGCTGATGACTACCAGCCCTCGCCCTCCCTACACAGCATCAACAGCAAGGTGGGAGTGACATACTGCTGATGACTACCAGCCCTCGCCCTCCCTACACAGCATCAACAGCAAGGTGGGAGTGACATACTGCTGATGACTACCAGCCCCGCCCTCCATACACAGCATCAACAGCAAGGTGGGATTGACCTACTGCTGATGACTACCAGCCCCGCCCACCCTACATAGCATCAACAGCAAGGTGGGAGTGACATACTGCTGATGTCTACTAGCCTGCTGTAGTGTGATTAATTATTTCAAATTAAACACGTAAGATTCGCCGTTGTTAGTATTTAAGTAAATTCCATTATTTAATTTCAATGATCATATAGAGGCTTACAATAACACGTATTAGTAAAGTGTCCACATTACAAGATCTAGCTAAATATTTTAATACCTGCAGGGGACTTAAAATGTGTGTAAAAAATGTACACAAAAACACACGGGATACGTTTAAATTTTCGTACGTAATTAAACCTCCAAAAGTTAATTCTTAAATATCCTAACTATAAAAAAAAATTGATACAAGAGTCAAAAATATCGTAAAATCCCCCGTATTTACGTATCCAGGGAATCATGGCGGTGTGTAGTTGGCAGCTCCGCGGATGCAGGGAAGTCTGCGACGGGAAGTGTGGCAAGCCTGCGGCAGTCTGAGCGGCAGCGCGGGGGCGGGCGCGCCATTTTTAGTGCCGCCAGGATCTATAAATAGCCGACACGGAGATCCCCATAACCGCTCACTATCTGTACAATGTTGACACTCGCTTCTGCCTGCCTAGTGCCTAGCTAACCTGGCAGTTGGGACGACTGAGACCGGAAAATAACCGGAATAATCGTGTTAAGTTCATAATCTGATTTGGATTTTGAATTTTAATAATAACTTCTGAAATTGTTTTATGGATTTTGTAATATATAGGTTACAGTACTTACGTCAAGTAACTCAAAAACCGTTATCATCACTTGCAATGGACAGAAAAATGTTTTAGGAAAGTTATGCAACTAAATAATTTGGGTATACATTGTCTGGGAGGTAATTGAGCGGATCACGGCAATTTTCCATAAAATATCTGTAGTAAATAAATAGCAAGTTAATTTTAAAATAGTACAAAGGCCCCATTAAAAAAACAAACACAATTGTTTGAGCAATTGAATCTACTAAACCCTTTATTGATAGGTGATTTTTTTTGCCTTGATTCAAGCCAATTTTCAAAATGCGTCCAAATGTCTACTACATTGCCACTTGAGTTATGAATTTTTTATTAGTTTGTGTAAGGGAGATGAGAAATTAATGTTTAAAAAATATATTTTCTACATTTTAATAGGAATTAGGGGCAAACCGGCTTGTAACGGATACATACCAACTGTTTAATGATTTACAGAATATTTATTTCTTTATTCTGATTGTAAGGGAGTTCCCCTACAAGCAGAATAAAAAATGCCTATTAATGTTAGTTATTTTCGCTTTCTGAGGACAGACAATAAAGCACTGGTCGAGATGGACAGTCCTTGGCTATACAATAGAGCACTGGACGAGATTGACAGACTGTGGAGAGACAATAAGAGTTTGGTACGAGATGGACAGTATGTGAACGGACAATAGAGCACTGGACGAGATCGACAGACTGTGGACAGACAATACTGGACGAGATGGACAGTCTATGGACAGACAATACTGGACGAGATGGACAGTCCTTGGCTATACAATAGAGCACTGGACGAGATGGAAAGTCTGCGGACAGACAATAAAGCTTGGTACGAGATGGACAGTCTGTGGACAGACAATACTGGACGAGATGGACAGTCCTTGGCTATACAATAGAGCACTGGACGAGATGGACAGTCTGCGGACAGACAATAAAGCTTGGTACGAGATGGACAGTCTGTGGACAGACAATAAAGCTTGGTACGAGATGGACAGTCTGTGGACAGACAATAGAGCTTGGTACGAGATGGACAGTCTGTGGACAGACAATAGAGCTTGGTACGAGATGGACAGTCTGTGGACAGACAATAAAGCTTGGTACGAGATGGACAGTCTGTGGACAGACAATAGAGCTTGGTACGAGATGGACAGTCTGTGGACAGACAATAGAGCTTGGTACGAGATGGACAGTCTGTGGACAGACAATAGAGCTTGGTACGAGATGGACAGTCTGCGGACAGACAATAAAGCTTGGTA